GAAAAAAAAAAAAGGAAAATTGTTGGCTGATTATGGAATGTAAATCATAAAAACGTTTTTTGCCCAAATTTTAGAAAATTATGAAATTTAAATTTGAATTTTATACATTATCACAAGAGAGAAAAATAGAGATGGCTCTGTCAGAATTTTGGTGAAGAATAAGATACACACAAATATACCGAAAAAAAACGAGGACGTGAAATTTTCTAAACAGAAAAAAGACGAGACGAGTCGATCAGAAATTTTCTGAAGAACAAGATTCGCAAAATATACTGAAAATTTATTAATGGTATATGTATCATTTTTTTTTTTTGGTTTATTAAAGGTATATGTTTGATATTTTGTAGATGGAGTCGCCTATGATGATTTTCATTCATTATATTGATGAATACTATGTATATAAACTGTACATATACAAAACAAAAAAAAAAAAAATCAGTTTATGCTTGTTTTAAATCACTTTTTATGCTTTGTAAACAGTTTTACTAAAAAATAAACCATACATATACACAACAATTCAATCAAAAAAAGCATAAAAGTATATATATAGTTTATGACCAAATTATAACAAGTTACTTATTGCAAAAAAATCAAAAGAAATGCATACTATAACAAATGAAATGTTCCGATTAGTATGGATAAACGTTGAAAAACATCATGATCAATAAATTATGAATAAACATCAAATAAACATTAAAACAAATCATATCAGATATATCCGTAAAATCTTCTAATATACAAAAAACATAAAAATGTCTATAAACTGAAAATATATTGTCCATATACTCAACATATACGTGTCGTCTCAGCAAAATGTAAAATAAACCATTGCATAAAATCTGCATATATAATAGTCATCACCAAGAATGGCCCGCATCGACTCCACGGGCCTCCTATTCGGGTTCCTGGGCTGAAACACAACACTCATGTTCACAAGAGCCCCAACCCTATCGGCCAGAGCAAGCAAAAGTACCATGAGACGACGGCTCTCCAGTCGTGGCCCACCAGGAAATCTCGGTCCAGGCCAAGGCATCCAGCAAGCCCACCAGATCGCCGGCGATATGGAAGGCAGTGTAGCTGGAGGCCCGCGGCAGAGAGTCGGAGTCCGCGTAGCCACAGAGGTCGGGGGCGAAGTTTGAAGCAACCAACCAAATTAGATTGTCAAAAATTCGATTTTCATGCGACACCGAAAACCTCGACGAGGACGCCGGCGAAAATTGAGGACATCATCCTCCAAAAGATATTCCTCGTCTCTCTCATCGACTCCATGAAGAACGTGGGCGGTACGGTTTTTGCAGAGAGATAATGGGCGATTTTTGGGATGATATTGTTCAATTTTTTTGTCAAGGATATATCATAATCCCAATTAACGATCTAATCACAATTAAATCGATGTACATTCCTTAATAACATGATTGAATTGACCGCAACTGAAATCTAGTATATTTGCAATATTTTGGGATTGAATTAGCTATTTCATAAATAAAACTAAAATGAGTGTAAAAAAAGTTATATAAATAAAATATGACAAAATGGGTTGCGAATTCCTCTATAAAATAGTAGCTTCTTGAAAACAGATTTCTTTCCAACATAAAATATCATTTACTAAAGTGGTGTTTATCATACAGAATCAAACTCTGAAGAGCGATTTTCTTCTAAAAAACTAATTATATTTTCCAACTCAATCTTCTATTTCAAGTTTCAATAATTATTCAATGTTCAACCCCTTTATATCATTTTCACTTGCACGAAAAAATTGATTCACTACAATAAATGGGGATTTTAAAATTAGAATCAAGCATATCCGCTTTCCAAATTTGAAACCAACCCACCAGAAAAATTAAAGTACAAAAAAGGCACACAACATTTTTGTATATCTGTAGTTGATAATCCTGCCACCAGACATGATACCTTAATGAGAGTCCACATATTTACAAAACGAAACGAACACCAAGTAATTCGAGGTACATCGGTTTTACACAGGCTTATCGGGACACGACATTTTACGGTACATCATCAGGTGATTTAACAAGTAAACCATATAGAACATTCTCATATCCGCATATTCGCACACCCTCCAATTTCCATCACAAGCAATCACTTACCTAGTGAGATAGTATACGACAAGGAAAATAACCACAAAAGATGCCACAAGAGTAAACATCCTTCGGCTTGATTTGGTCTCAAACACCTGAAGCCAAGTAAATTCAACATGTAGACGAAGAGTTAAGATCGGCTATCATGAAGAAAATAATGTATCAAGAATTAGAGTTCGAAAAGTAATATACCATCTTAAATTTATCCATGGTTCCGGACAAAACTCCTCTTGAGGAATCCATGTCATTTCCCTACATTCAGACAATAATGAAACGAGCAAATGCTCACAGTCCATTCTTTAGCATATACTAAGGGTGGAATGGTTATATTTTTTATTGTAATATACAAACCATTCGGTCCAGCATGAGGTTATGAGACTCGACTTCCTCGTGTATATCACCTGACAACTGTTCAGTTCAGGGAAACTCTAGTTTTAGTAGAACAGAAAAATATAGTCTCGAGTTTATGCAATTGAATTAAGAATATAATTTCAGAATCAAGAATATAATTTCAGAATTCACTTCAAAACAGATTAAGAAAAGTTGAAACACAGGAATGTAGTCCACAAACGAAAATGTGTCACAACAATTTAGGACCTTTTACTTGTTTCAAATTCATATGCTATACAAAAATATCCACCCTTTATTTCTCGGTTGTGGAACCAGTTTTCTCGATGAAGAATACAAGATCAGCAAGACCCATAGGAGATAAATAGTAATAGTAAACGAAAGAGACAGCAAGATAAGTAAAAAATCCGGGCTTTTTATAACGAATTTACTCATTATTATCCTGTTTTCTAGAATAAATATACCACCTAGGAAAAGAAAAAATAAAATATATAAATGTTAACCCCAACAACATATAACAAAACCCTTTTTATAAAACCTTATCAAACCTTGCTGCACGATCCATACACCACCACTCAGACTCTGAAGACTGTAATTCCAACTTCTAATTCACAACTAAATGTAGAAAATAGTTCAATTAAAACAAACAATCAACTTGTGGTTTCTTGGAAATTTAGCTTACTCTTTTCAGCATATTGACTCGATCTTGTAGACCATCAACTGCTCTATCATTCTCTTGCTCATCAATCTCATGGGACGAGTAAGTCGAAGATGCCCTTATACCTCCCTCTTCAATACCATCAAAAAGAGCACTTCTAGAGTTACGATCCCTGAAGTTGAACATCATGATTAAAATTTAGAACATGGATGTTAAATATATAAGATTTGTATAAATGTTTAAGACATAAAGTAGCATCGGTATCAATCAGAAATACTAGTTTGTCATCAATAGCTCATAAAAGTAGCATGAATTAGCACCTTTGCATTTCAAAGAAGCAAGGCAACAGTTAATGAAATTTAAAGTTCAAGGCTAAAGTTAAAAAATGAACAAAGATAAAAGAAATATAATATTTTACATTCTCAGCGTTCAAATAATCAGTATTTAATTTTGGAACTCCTTAGTTCAATGGCAACATTTTAGTAACATTTCAGAACAAATATGACCACAAATGGAAATTTGCATGTTTCGCCACCATCTATTGCAACTTAATTACCCTAGATTTATGTGGAGAAACATGAAAACCACCATAATCAGAAGAAAAGTCACTAAAGAGAACAAGAAAATAAATAAACTTTTCGCGTCATATAACGTCTACAACCAGTAATTGACCAGCATAAATCCAACACTCACTGTAAGCTAGTGTCGCTTGTTCAAAATTACTAATAATACAGAGAACTAATTACAGAATAATTTGGGAAGATTCCATCACGCCAAAGTCACCGGGTTTTTCAGATTTGGATCAACAAACATACCCACACCGATCCAACGGTAAAAAACCCGGTGACTGCAGTAGGGTGAAATCTACCGGATAATCTGATACAAACATACATCAATTGAGGCAGCTCAAGAAGCAAAATTAAACTAGCAAAGTTTAATAATCAACCTTCTGGAATTCATAGCCATGGCGATCGAAGAACTTGAGCACAGCCAACTGAAACAGAAATCACCGCACAGCTAAAAACACCCAAACCCTGGATCAAATTCATCACCGCCAAAACGAGAAAAAGGGAATCAGAAATTCATACAGAAAAACGATTCACTCAAAATTACACCCAAATTTTAGGGTTGTTGCAATGAAATGAAATCTGGGCTGATAAATTCGATGCCCTACAAATCTATATATATAAAAACAAAGCTACAAACACTCAGATCTGAAAGATCAAAGTGAAGGAGTTGGGCGTACCTGAAGCAACTAAATATTGTTGCTAATTTGTTTTAGATTTCAGATTATTATTTATACCGAGACTGACAAAGAAAAAAGAGAAAACTACCCAAAGAAAAGAAGAAGAAAGAAAAGAAAAGAAAGAAGATTTGGGCTTCCCACATGGGCCGTGCACTACCCAAACTGCTACTCAGATTGGACTACTTTGGGAGAAACAAATTAGTAGTTCATTTCATCAAATTCCACCTACTCAATTAAGAAATAAAAAATGAAGTAATATTATATTATCTATTCATCTATTCACATATCTCTAATTATTAATAATTAATATTTTAATATATATTTTTTTAATCATAATTTTTTTTATTTCATATTCATTCATGATTTCATTTATTTAAATAAATAAAAACTAGTAGTGCGATGCATGAGTAAGTGATATTTATTAACATTTATAAATAGAAAATGCTAATTAAATAATATTTATAAAGTAAAATATTGAATCAAAATGTAATGCAATTTACCTATATTAATTACTTTATTGAAAATATTATATGAAATTTAAATTGTGCAAAATTACATAAAATATTCTTGTTTATAATTTGTACAAAACCCGTACAATGCACGTAAATGATAATAAATTACATTATATTCATTTAAAATAAGTGTCATCTTAAAATTTTTATTGAGAAATTCGATTTGAATATAGTGTTATTCCATAAAATAAGTATTTTGGTAAAATTTATCATATATTTAAAACTCTATTTTTTTTTTTTTTTGCCAGAACGATAGGGGATCTATATATAATCAACAGAAAGAAGTTCGAATACAAGATCAACAACCTACTAAAAGGAAATCTGAGAGATGCTACACAAAGCACCTAGAACCTCATCAACTCTAAACTAGAAAATAGAAAAACAGAAGAAGAAATGCATCTCTCCACTGCCATAAGGCCTAGCTAGAATACATCACTCCAAACCTAAAGAACTCCAAAACCAAACAGAAAAAAGAAACTAGTCTAACTAGGCTGAGAAGCATCACAATGTCCTGCAGCTGAAGAAGCTTCAATCCAATCCCTTTGAGCACCAGAGATCACTATGTGTTCTGGCATGAGAGATCCTTTAAAGATCCAAAGATTTCTTGATTTCCATAGCCACCAAAGCAAGTAGGTGGACAGTTGAATTCTAGCTTGGACAACCTCAGTTTGTTTAAGTGAGCTAATTTGTTGCCACCAATATTTGAAGGAGGAAGTGTTGTGTTGCAAGCCATCCCATTGAACTGGTGCATATTCCCAAATCCTACTTGCTCTTGGGCATGAAAAGAAGATGTGCTATGTAGTCTCTGGTTGATCACCACAAATGGAGCAGATGACACTAATATCAATTACTTTCTTCCTCAAGTTGACAGCAGATGGTAATGTTCCTGAGATACATTTCCAGAGAAAATGCTTCACTTTGTTGCATCCTCATCTGTCAACATCTCTGATAGATCTGTTGAGGAGAGAAAGGACTGGAGCTTGACTCTGGAATGTCCATTTGCAAGATCTTTTGAGATACCAGGAATTTATATGTGCTGGCTACAGTGAAATGGCCTTTAGGATCAAAGCCCTAATACTGTCTGTCTGGTCTAGCAGGGTTTAATGAGCTTATCTTAAGTATTGCAGCACTATCTTCTGAGTCAAAGACTTGCTCAACTAGCCATTTGTTCCATTCAGAGCCATTAGTTTGAAGCAAGTCCTTGACCCAAATTAAGTGTCCCTTTGCAATTTCAATCAAAGAAGAATGTGCTTTTTTCAACTCAGGCACCCAGTTCAAGTCATCAATCCTAGTTGTAAGCCCATTCCTGATCTCTATTCTTACACCTTTAGCAAAAGTAGGCATCACTGAAAGCCAGCTATGCCAAAGCCAAGATCCTTTATGTGTCCTTTCAGCAGTGAACATGGAGCTGTTGGGGAAGTACCTATCCTTCAGAATCCTGCTCACAAGAGAAGCTCAGGGTTGGATCTCCACAACTGTTTGCAGATTAAAGACTCATTGAAGAGGCTGATATCATGGAACCCCAGACCTCCTTTGAGCTTGGGCAGAGTGAGTCTCTCCTGTTTCCTCCAGTGTAAGCCAGCTCCTGAGTTGTCACCAGATTTCCACCAAAAGGCAGCACATAATCTTGAAATTTCCTTGCTTATGCCAACAGGAAGTTTGAAACATGTCATAGAGAAAATAGGGAGAGCCTGTAAGACTGATTTAATCAGTACCTCGTTGCCAGTTGGTGAAAGGAGATTATTTTTCCAGCCCTGCAACTTGTTTCTGATAGATGAAAGGATGTAGTAAAAAACTTCCTTCTTAGATCTTCCAATACCCAATGGCAGCCCAAGGTATCTTGACAATCTATGAGGAACAATGCCCTGCAGCACACCACAGATGCTATCTCTCACACTTTGAGGTGTATTCCTGCTAAAAAAATCCCAGATTTTTGCAAGTTGGCCTTTTGCCCAGTGAACAGCTTGTACTTGTTCAAGAGATTTAACAGTTGGTTGGCTTGATCCACTCCTGCTTTACAGAATAGCAATGAGTCATCTACAAATAGGAGGTGAGTGATTGCAGGACCATTGCTAGAGAGCTTGAGTCCATGCAGGCAGCCTTGGGATTGAGCATTTAATATCAGGGCAGAAAGAAGCTCAACAACAATTATGAAGAGGCAGGGGGACAGGGGGTCCCCTTGCCTAATACCTCTTGAGGGGCTGATGTAGCCCTGATCTTGCCATTGACTTTGAAAGAAATTGTGGTTGTTGTTACACAGACCATAATCATTTTGACAAAATCAGGTTGGAAGCCCATTTGAAGCATAATTCTCTGGATACAAAGCCACTCTAGTCTGTCAAAAGCTTTCATAAGGTCAAGCTTTATAGACATGAAGAAATTTTTGCCAGTGGAGTGTCTATTTAAGAAATGGTAAGCCTCCTGTGCAATAATGATGTTGTCCATGAGCTGCCTTCCTTTAACAAAGGCTGATTGATGAGGGCTGATGCAGTCATGCAGACATGTCATAAGTCTCTGGGCTAGAACTTTAGATAACACCTTGTAGATCACACAACATAGGCTGATTGGCCTGAACTGTGACAGAGTTTCTGGGTGAGCAGTTTTAGAAATCAAAGAGAGGATGGTGTGATTCCAATACCTCAAGATTGCCCCAGATTGGAAGAAACTGAGGATAGCTTCAAAGACATCCACTTTAACCAAGTCCCAGAAATGCTGAAAAAAAAAAGAGCATTCATTCCATCCTCGCCTGGTGATTTCTCAAGTGGCAGAGAGAATAGGGCTGCTTTCACTTCCTCCTCAGTAACTGGTCTCATTAAACTTTGGTTCATGTCTGCAGTGATTGTCTGTGGTATAAGGTTGATAATTGACTCACCATCCCAGCTGCCCTCTGAAGTGAATAAGTCTGAATAGAATTCAGCAATATGATGTTCAATGTCCTCTTGAGTGGAAAGCACAGATCCATTAGGAGTTATCAGCCTGGAAATTGCATTGAGCTTCGTTTTCTGGAGGGTATATGCATGAAAGAACTTGGTATTACCATCACCTTCCTTTAGCCATTTCAGTTTTGATCTTTGTTGCCAGTGAAGCTCTTCTTGTTTGTGAGCTTCATTTAATTCAGTCCTTGTGCTATTCCACTGGTCCCAATAATCTTCAGGTTTGTCCTCTCTCAGCACCTCAAGTTTTTTGGTGAGCACTTCAATTGTTTGCTGATTGTTGGTTTTGAATTTTGAGCTCCAAATTAGAAGAGCTGCCCTTGTGTTCTTTACTTTTTCCTTGAGTTTGAAAAAAAGGGTACTTGAGGTGGGTTGAGTCCAGGCTGATGAGACAATTTCAAAAAGTCCCTCCATATTGAGCCATTTTTTTTTCAAAGTGAAATCTTGCTGCGGATTTTGGTTGAGTTGTTCCTTTGCTAAGGAGAAGCATTGAATGATCTGATGCACTTCTCACTTTGTTAGAAACCAAGGTATTTGGGAAATCCAGCAACCAATCTGTTGAAGCAAATGCTCTGTCCAATTTTTCCTCTACCATCCCTTCTGCTTCCCTGAGATTGCACCAAGTGTATCTGTAACCCTGCATTGGTAGCTCCTCCATTTCCATATTATAAATAAAAGAGTTAAAGCCTAAGAGACTTCTGTCACTCCTCAAAATACCACCAGATTTGTCCTCCTTGACACAAATGTCGTTCCAGTCTCCCAAAGCAAACCATTTAGAACCCCAGAGAGCTTTATCATTAATCAATTCATTCCATTGTTGAATTCTAGTCTGCTTGCAAGTGCTCAAATAAACAAAAATTCCCCATTGAGAAGGGGTAGAAGCTAACTCAAATTCAACAGCAATGTAAAAAGATTTTTGCATAAGATTAATAATATTTACATTAGAATCCCAAAGTAAGAGTAAACCCCCACTAAGACCCACAGGATCAACAAAAGAAAATCTATCAACATATCCCAACTTCCTAGCTACAGATTTAACAAAGCCATTTGATTTTTTTGTTTCAGAAAGAAAGAAAAAAGTGGGGTGGTGAGCCTTGATGGACTCTCTGATTTGGGAAATTGTAGAGGGCCTACCCAGCCCTCTACAATTCCACACTGCAGCTAGCATTGGGAATTGGGGTGCCACTCGAGGCTGGCATCCTCCACCTTTCCTTGTGAACCTTTGACTTTCTTGCTGGATGATGAGGCTATCAATCTTGATTTTTGAATTGAGGAGAGGGGGGAGAATCCTCTCTAGTTCTCTTATTGCTAAGGCTATCTTGGATCATCAACACTTGGTCATCATTTCTTTGCAGCCTCCCCTCTCTGCTCAATTCCCTTTTCCAAGTTTTCTGCTTGTGACTAGCTGGAGTTTTTGAAGATTTAAGGGGACTGGACTTAATTTGGATTGGTATTGAGAGAGCTTGAACTACCAGTTCCATATCCATTGCCTTGTTCTGGGAAACTTCTTCTACCACTGTGTGAATTATCTCCAAGTGTTTCTGAGTATGAGATGTAGAAGCATTCTTTACAGCTGTGGTGGTTTGAGGTGTAGACTCTTCCTGGACTGAATTTGAGGCCTCCATATCAGGGTGAGATTCAGTGGAGGGTTGAGCATGAGCTTCATGTACTTGAACTTGAACTATTTGCTTTCCTCTGTCACCCAAGCTAGAAGTGGGTCTTAAAGGGGAAGATTGATCTGGAACTTGACTAGATGAAAGAGTGTTCCTTGAATGTGATAGACCAACTTCTATCTAGTTTTAACCTTCCACAGCTTTTAACCAGTCTCCATACTTCCCTTCTCTAACTGTTTTGGATTTAATGGCAGCTATTCTCTTTTTGCAAACTCTGTCCAAATGTCCCAAGAGCCCACAATAATAACACAGATTGTGTAGTTTCTCATATCTGAATCCTACAGTTATTATTTGGTCTTCCAGTTGAATATTTGTGCACCGCGGAAGAGGTTCATTTATGTCCAATGATACCAATAACCTTATAATTCTGCCCCCGTGATTTCCTGAACTAGCTATAACCACATTTTGAACTGAGTTGAAAATTTTTCTTATTTTAAGACCAACCTCAGTGCTCAAGCAGTTAATAGGAAGGTTCCATACCTGAACCCACATTGTGATTTCTTGAAAAGCAGGATGATTGCTTGTCAGCCCTTTCTCCCATTCTTTTAAGATTAAGTGCTGGTTATCAAAGCTCCAACTTATTCCATCCCCAACCTTGCGCATATCATCTCTGCTTTGGAATACAAACTGGAAGAAATTATAGCCAAGCTCTTTTACTTCCATTTGTTGTTGCAATCTCCATATGTGACTCATAGCTCTCTTAATTCCGATCCAACTGGCTTTACGATCTCCTATTACTTTCCCAAAAAGGCTCCTTTCACATTCTTCCGCACATACTTGATATCTTCACGCTCAATACCGGTAATCAAGCTCTCCTTTTCAGATAGCGAGAAATTCTTGATTCTATCCGCTAGGTCCTCGTCGTGCCCAATACAACTCGATTCCGCCATAAATAGGGTTTTTGAACAGTAGTAAATTTGTGATTATACAAAAGATCGATGAGGGAGTGAGAAAAACACAGAATCAACACACCGAAGATGAAAAACTAAGGTTGCTCCCAACTGAGAGAATCGCCAAACCGCTCCCAACTGAGAGACTATGGGACACGGTTGATCCGACATTTTGTTATTTAAAACTCTATGTGAATAATAAGTATAATTATAAAACTTATTATTGTTCATAATTAAAATGAATTTATTTTTGTA